GTGTCTTTTCCGTTCTGCAGCAGTGCGATTATGCTCCGCCACCTTCGTTTGCTTTTTCATCCAATCGGTGACCTTTTTGGAGAGTTTGGTGGAAACTGAAACAGCCTCTGAGGAGGCGTCGCCCTGTATACACCATCGCAGTTGCGGCACATGTTCATGACCTCGACGCTCTTCGCGGCGCACATAAATTGGCACTCGCCGCACCTGCTCATCCCAAAAAGACTCACGGGATGGGACCAAGAGAGGAGGTTCTTGGTTAAAGAAATCCGCATCTGAAGCATAGATCACATTACCAGCAGCATTGAAAAAGGTTTCCACAGCATCAGGATGAAGCAATAGGGGTCTCCATGGGAGACCAGCGCAACGAGGGAGACCCCACGTGTTCTGCAGGTTGTTGACCGTTTGAGAAGTAATGCCACATGGCCAAGGGCGACGCTCAACGTAGCGGCCAATAGCTGAAGCAGCTGATGCAAAAGCCCTTGCACGCTGGCCAAGTTGGTTGGCCTTGTCAGCCTTTGGCATCTCCAGAAGAACCCCTGTCGCGATCTCAAAGTCAATTGCAAGTTCACAAAAGGTGATGGCCTGGCTGCGACCTTCTTCTGGCCACTGGAGGTGGCCCAGATACCACTCCATGGCAGGCAACAAGGATGGCTTGACACCAATCTGAATGAACATACCATCATTGCCAACACGGCGATGTTGACCAGGAGCACGTTGGACAAGGAGCCATGGCTTAGGCACCAGTTGCCATTCCATGCTCACTGCTGGGCCAAGCCGAGGCGGATGGCGCACAGCGTGTACGGCTACAGGCCGTTGGCGAGAGCTGGCTGCAGAAGACTGTGGAGCTTCTACCTCAAGGACAGCTTCGCCATCAAGGCCCACAGGGGGCCGTTTGTGGCAAAATCGCCGACCACCTGTAGGATGGAGTTGTAGTTCGCGATGTAAACGTTCTTTCAATTGCAACCAACCATGGTTCATGGGCAGTGGGGCAGGAGAGATGTTGGCAGCAGACCCCTGTACCTCTGTATGATTGCGAGCGAAGCAAACAAACATGATGCAAACCTGTAACCACACGGTATCGCGCAAAAGTTGCCCAAACTGTCGAATGCGACCATGCCAAGTGGGGTGATGATGGAGTTGCTCCCCACGTTTAGCCAGTTTGTCAGCTTCATTGTTGCCCTGTATCACTAAAGGAGTCAAGCCATATTGTTCCGCATCCGCGGCAGTCAAATGCGACGGGACAAAAACGAAGGTGATGTCAATGTCGTTGCATGCACGCCACAAGCGCTGCCACAAGTCAGAGTGTTCCCAGGTGAGTGGGATGTGCTGGATACCACTAAGAGTACGTGCTCTGTTGAGGACCCAAGCAGAGTCACTGTGAATGACCAAGGATTGCTTCCACCCAACGCCCTGTTCTGCTGCAAGCACAACTGCCAAAAGCTCTGCACGGTTGTTGGTTTGCAGGGGACCAGCCAAGGCAGCATGAAAATTTAAAGCGACACTGTCATTGTAGTAGATACCCAAACCGCTGCGTACCAACTCCGGGATGGCACCATGAGCGGTACTGCCATCAGTCCACACCAAAACTCCGCGGTCATCCTGAAGGACTTGCGGCGCCGCCTCTTCCCAAGAAATACTGGGAGGAGATTGTTGTTGCATGCTCTCCAAAGCCAAGAACTCTTCCAGCAGCCACTCAGGGTTTAAGGTGATCCCACACTCCTGCTCTACTGGCAAGGGGTGCCTGTCCAATACACCGGGGCAAAACTTGCCGATGGTGGCATCCCGGATAAATTGCCAAGCAGGGCACTCCCAAAACATGTGTACTTTGGTTTCATCAACGTTCAAAGAGCAGTGAATGCAAGTCGCGCTAGGAACCTTGTGCATTTTTTCTAGCTGAACCCGTGCCACAGCTGCGCCGGCAAGGATACCTTCCAACAGACCATGCATGTACATGGAGAGCGAACCACCACATAAGCGAGCCACCTGTTGGCAGCATCCAGGAAAAAGGCTGTCCACATCGCGGCGAGAAAAACCACCACGCAACAAAAAGGTTGAAGCAAAAAGGTTCACTCCCCGTTCTGCTTGGATGCCTTCCATATCTTTACGGTGGACATGCTGCCACCTGCTCCATTTGAGCTCCTCACGGAGCCTGTGAGCAAGGAAAGCGCCGCTGCACTTCCACAAGCAAAACCGACGACCTTGTCGGGTCTCAACAGTTTCAAAATCAATCCAAGTGAGCTGCATGTCAGCCAAAAGTGTTGCCAAATTGCGCAGTGGTCCTGCCAGGTGAGCCTGGCCTGAGATACAACTAGGCCAGATCTGCAAAGCGCGGGCATACAGGTCAGGCCGCTTCAGAAAGAGTCGACGAAGGCCAAGCACTGTCTGAAAGGGCACTGCTTGGAGGGGGTCGACCAAATGACCCTTTCGCAGGAGCGTGACAAGAACTTCTGGGTTGCGTTGAAGTCTAGTAGAAGTCCACAATGCTGTAGTGACTGCCCAACGAACCTGCTGCATGTCATGGGCACCAGGCCAACCAATTTCACATCCATAGAGAAACTGCTTCATAGCCTTAGCTGCAATGTACCTTTCTGCTTGTCGAGGCGGTATGCCAGTGGCACGTACTGTCTGCAAGGTAGCCGCACAAGAGTCAGCACGGTCATGAGATACCGCAACCCTCCTGAGTTTGCCACCAACTGTTTGATGTCCAAGAACTTTGGCTTGCGCCTTCACCTCTAAAGCATTGCCGGTGGCTGCAGCCACTTGTGGAGCAAAACGCGGTGCTGGCACCACTGCAAAAGATTTACGAGTATTGGTGAGTTGACCACTGACCTCATCAAATCGTTGCACCTCTTGCCAAGCTATGGTAGCCGCCTGACCATCTGACGCAGAGAAACTGACTCTGCTGTCGTCAAAGTATGCCCGCGGGCGAAGACCCAGGGACTCGTTACGCTGACACCAAATACCCATGAGCAAATGAATCATCGCTACTGAGAGGGCACAACCTTGGAGAGGAGCACTGGACTGCCATGCTGCACCAACAACACCATTGATCTTGAACCTGCGGGTCAAGGAGCCATAGAAACCTTCGAGAGCCAGGATAACCCCTGGGGGGCCTCCCAATGCAGACCATACGCTGGACACAACCGGAAGGACCAATTTGTCGAAACATTTGGTCTTGTCGAAAAACATTGTGCTTAGAGCCGGGGCTAATCCCAGGAGTGCTTCTTCATGGGCCAAGGACATTTCCAGAGCTTGTTCAAGCGGCTCCCCAAAAACGGAAGGAGGACAAACCCTCTGAAGCCACGGTTTGATCTGTCGAAAACGCAGACTGGCCCAAACGGCACGCAACACGGCCGCACAACTGATCGGGCGCAGCTTGCCCGGTTCAGTGCCCTCCCCTTTGCTAAGCATGGTCACATTCACATGAAGCATAGACTGTGGCCACACACCTGAGGCTTCAATAGACTGCAGGAGTGTTGCCATTGCATCCCAGAAAACAATGGGAAGTTGTTGAAGCTCATAGGTTCGCCAACTGTCCAAACCACCTACCGCACTTCCAGAACGTTGCTTTGCCTGTCGCATCAGGTCAGCGCCGGTGAGAGAAGGCAACTCACAGGGCGCTGCACGAGCACGGATCTCAGCTGCATATTCCTGCAGGAAGGCCGCAGGGGCCGGGGCGGAAGACCGGTCAAAAATGTGAGCCCATGCTTCCTGTACTTTATCCAGTATCACATTGAGATCAAAACAAGGAGCACCATTCACCTGCACTGATTGCAAACCAAGAGCGCGAGACGGCCGCAAGAGATCAAACAAACCCTTGGAGGAAGCAATGTCAGAGTCATGCACCATATGTCGCCACTGTTGTTGTCGCGTAGAAATAATATCATGAAGCTGTGCATCGATTTCCATCTCAAGTTGACCCAAGGCTTCCTGGATATCAACTGCAGTGGGCTGTTCCGGCCAAGCATGTTGTAGGAGGCGTCCCCCCAAGGTTCTGCTGCGTTCCCAAGTTGCTTCAAAGCGGATACGGTCCGCAATAGACCACGGTGTGGTGGCAGCCCTGCACATCAGAGTCAAACATTCGCGCAGGCACCGCGCTGCACGACGCCCTTGACGGAGCCTGTGTGGTTCCGCAGGACCTTTGTAGCTGCATGTGCCCATAGCTGGCACAAGCTGTGGCTTTGCGAGTTGCCCCCGAGGAGGGAAAGAACGGCCAAGCCGGCGGCCAAGGTATGCTGTAGCTGCTTGACACCATGTAGAATAGGCGTCATCCACATCTGAATCTAGCTGCTGCTGAAAAATTCTGGAAAATTGAGACCATACCTCGGCAGACAACGCGTTCTCATCAGCCAAAGGCATGGCCGGCCACTGATCCACTGGAGGGCTGGCTTGGGCCAGAGGCAAAATGGAAACCTTTGCATCCACCATATGTGAAGAAGCCAACACAACGTGCAGAGGAACATGGTCAGGTCGCGGTTCACCCAAACGGCAAGGCTGCAATGCCTTGTTCCAATCAGTTTTGTGCTCAAAGGACTCCACCATGTTGAGAGCTAAGGAGTTCGCAAGGACCAAATCATTGATAGAACGAGGTGCGCCCTCGTCATGCCACTTGCCACCATGACACCACGTCGGAGTGTTCTCCAAACCAGACAAACGCGCCAAGTTGTACCAGCCATGCTGGTACAGCAACTGAAAAACCGAGGTGTTGATGACATCAGACTGGAAGTCACCACCAAGCAAAACTGGGACCGGGCCGAGGCCGGCCAAGTACTGCATAAGAGCCCATAGCAGCTTTTCGTTGTAGCCACAATCAGACACCTTGCAATAAATATTCATAATATGGAGCCTGAGGCCAGAGGGAGAAATGATGACGTGCTGAAAACGCCCGTCGTTAGCAAAATCCTGCATGGCACCCAGTTGTTCCACTTCCAAGGCCGGAGTGTGGAGAGGAAGAGCGCAACACACCCCTGTAGATGAGCTGTTGGTGGGCCCACAGCCCC